AGAAAGAAAGAAAGAAAGAAAGAAAGAAAGAAAGAAAGAAAGAAAGAAAGAAAGAAAGAAAGAAAGAAAGAAAGAAAGAAAGAAAAGAAGAGTAGAGGTGAGACTTATTATACTCCAAAAGTCACCCACCATGGGCAACAGCCTTGGTCCACAGTGGGGCAGCTGAGGTTAGAAAGTTTCCCAGGAGCTTAAGGCATAAACTGTCAGGGAAAAACAAGCTATCTGTTGGGCAGGGTCCAATGGGTTCAGAGAAGGAGGGGCACCCAAATCTCAGCATGTGCCATCCAAGCTGGATAATCCACCAGATGGGCAAGATGATGGCTGCCCATGTCCTTCCCACCTGCCATAGCAGCGAAGTTGCCAAGATGCAGGAGCAGCCTCTCCACGTGTCTCTCTCCTAGCTCTTCATTCCGTAGGTCGATAGATAGACAGACAATCCCCATTCCCCTTCCCAGCCTTTTTCCTTCCCAGTCAACCCATTCAGGACATCTGATTCATGGCATACTAAGAGTTTCAGTCCAAGCCAAATGAGATATTGACAGCACGGAGGGGGACAGTGAAAATGGTGTGGGTTTTGCCACCCTCAAAGACCACACATTCCAACACCTGGAATATTACCTGCACATAACAAGAGCACTGGATGGCTACCTGGTTCATTTCCATCTTCCACCCTATTAGATCTCTGGTCCAAGGACTTGTAGGGAAAGGGTATTACTAAATCATGAGTAGGGAGCAGGTGGAAGGGAATGGAGGAAATCTACCTAAGAGAAAACAAAACAAACAAAATTCTGAGACACTGAGAATTGGTGTTCATGACTCTAGAGTGGATAGGAGCCTGGGTTCAAAGTGGTAGGCAAGTATCTGTGCTAGACCCTGCCTCCACTCCAGCCCTACTGAACATCACTTGCCCACATCTGTCAGCTGCCTTCCTGTATTTTCCTCTTAAGACCTATCCCAGGTATCTAGGGACCCACAGAAAGTAGGTTAAGTTCAGGGTTATGGCACTGCCAAGGGGGCCACTGGGTTTTCTGAGATCTGAAATGATGTTTTAGAGTGTAATTGCCATGAAGTGGGGAGGTTTCATCTCCCCTGCCCACCTAGTAAAGTGGTGAGGAGACTTGGAGGAGGCACATAAAACAGTTGCTTCTCAACTTTGAACTTTGCGCCAGGGACTTGAGGGACATGGAAACAGACATCTGTAGTCAATGTTGGACCAGCCCAGGCAGTGCAGAGGGCCAGAAGGTCTCCCTGACCTTGGCCTGCTGACAGCATCCAGGATGAGGCACATGTCACAACCACAAGACCCTGGCCACCTTCCTGTTTATGCAGACTGAGGGTCACCCGGGCCTGGGCTTCCTTATCAGTACATTCCACCTTGGCTGTTCTGAGCTACAACCCTCCCTCCCCCTTCAGAGCCCTTGGCTATAAATTCTCTCCCTGCGCTCTCTTGGCACAGCCTTCCTCCCTTGGAACCCCTTCCAGCAGCTGGCCCCAATAAACCTCTCTTCTCTAAGACCATTTGTGTGGGCTCCTTCGGCAACACCTTACAGTCAAGATATATAGAGACCTTTGGAAGAGACGTGGGTGAGAGACCCATGGGGTGGCTGACCGTGGCTGCCATTACCTTGATTTGTACTCTGATTTTGCTCCTTTCATCCCAAACTTGTCTGGCCCCTCCTGCCCGTGAGGTCACTTTGGTGAGATGTTGCATTCAGTGAGTAGTAAGATTCCCTTTCAGTGGCACACAGCAAGTTTATCCAGGAGAAAAGATGTTTGCACACACACAGGCAGGCAAAGGTTACATTCTAAAAACACAGGTTTATCAGGAAAAGGAAAGAAGACTCTTGTTCAGACACAAATGGGCAGAAAGAGAAGCCACTTATGCTTTGCAAAGGGAAAGCTTGGCTAAAAGAAATGCCTGCATAGTCACAAGGGGGCAGGAGAGCTTTTTCCAAGGCAAAAATTGTACTGTCTTTTGAGGGAGAGGGTGGGGGCTCATTCTTTTTTTTTTTTCCATCTATTTTTTATCTTTTTTATTCATACTTCTAGGGTGTTACTAGTTTGACTTATAAGGACCAGAGATTTTCATCTATAGCTGGTTTAACAAATATGTTAATCACTTCTACCTCCACCTCCAGTTTCTGGTCTTGCGATGCCCACACCCTAAGTTTTCTCTTCTTCGCCTCCATCACCCTTTTCCTACAGTTCCCTGCCAGAATATGCCTTAGACTTGTATGCAAGTTTTCAGGTCTTAGCGGCCCAGTCTTGGGACAATGCTATTTGGAGGGCATTTACCCATGAGGGGACATGTAAATTTGGTGCTTAATCTAAAAACTCTATTCTTTTCTTGTCTTTGTTGTACACACTAATTGTATTAAAGTTCCTTTCCATTAAAGGTCTCACATGATAGATATTGTCTTGTCTTGATGTGGCAGATGGCAGAACCTATTTAGAGCGGGCGGGTCTGGATGTTCTGGGGTGTCCTTCACCCTGCTCTGCAACAATAGGGTGGTGAGCAGTGAACACGCTTCTCTGGAGTCTCACCTCCAGGATCATGCTGCCCCTTCTGAGCTCGAGGGGTATCCAGCTGGGGTGGGGGAGTCAAACAACCTGAGTTGTTGGAGGAGACCTCTGATACAGGCTCACTGCAGACCAGGTTCCTCCTACTGCCTCATCAGGGGGTTATGGGGACCAAAGACATCTGTCACAGTGTTGGGGGGAAATAGATATCTTGAACAAATTCTATAACTAGGTTTTGTGGACCCCAACACCACCCCAAGCTAGAGGTCTAGGCACCAAGTACTACAAATCCCGTAATGTCATCACCACCGAGTGGAGGATTGCTGGGAGCTGAGGGTGGAGTTAAGCACCCAGGTTTGGGTGTGTGCACCCAGGTTTCTGCTTGCTAGTATTCTAACTCAGCAGAACTGGTAGGATGTATTCACCAATTTATCTTTCACTTTCTCCCTGAGTCATTCCTCTTTTCATTTCCCCTTTCTGTAAATAAACCCACCACTAACCCTTGTGTATGTGCCTGCAGTCAAACCTCATTATAAGAACATTTTCAACATGCAGCTAAGGACCCACAGTCAGGCCAACCGACTTCACATTGGATGAGCTTAAGTATGATGTTGATTATTTTGAATTAGAAGAAATTGAAACAAAATACATGGTATTTTCCCTATATATCTGTCTCCCTTAAAATAACATATCTGCAGTATACTGAGAGTGGGAGACAATCTTCCAACCTAATCACCCCAGGTTAGGCTTGCAAGATCTGTTTCCCTAGGTACAGGTAGGTGAACACTACAAACTGTCTCTATCTTTTCACTGCGAAGTTCTTTGTTCTTTCCTTCCCTCCCACATTTTTTTTTCCAAAGATTTATTTGTGCATACAGAACTGGGGTACAGGTCAGAGGTTTAGGGGCAGTGAGAGGACTCACCAGAGACAGAGTGGGGAGCAGAACAGGCAGATCAATGAAGTACACTGCTGAGGGGAGCAACGGGCAGGTCAGAAGAGGTCTGCCTTGCCATGTGAATCACCTCTTGGGCAGGGATCAAACTCATGCTGAAGAAGTTTTAGCTTCTTAGTGCTGTGCCACCAGGGGCTTCCCTCCCACATTTTATCAATATTATCCCTGTCCTTAAAAACTGTATAGCCTCACTGGGATAACCAGAGGGGTTGGGGATCTATATTCTATGGACCCTTTGAACACATAATTAAAGTTTGTCTTTTCTCTTTGAGCCTCTCGTGTCATCATTATTAAACCAACCAAAATGTACCAAGAAAAGGGCCTCCCTGGTGGTGCAATGGGTTAAAGCACAGCACTCTGAAGCTCTCCACAGCCACTGCAGCAGGAATTTGATCCTCAGCCAGGGAGGTGACCCATGCGGCACAACTGACCTCCCTTGTCTCACCCACTGCTCCTCTCAGCAGTGTATTTCAGTCAATCTGTCTGTTCTGCAATGTACTCTGTCTCTGGTGGATCCTCTCACCAAGCCCCTACACCTCTGGCCTACCACCCCAAATCTTGTATGCATATATAAATCTTTTTTAAATGTTCCAAGAAGGCTGGGGGGATCCCCAAAAAAATTTCCACAGGGTTCACTTGTCAAAGTCAGGTTCAATAATCAGAGCATGTACCCAGAAAAGGAACCTGGTGAGAGTAATGGATTTGGGGGTGGGGAAAACTGTTACTTCCTCTCTTCTGGTCTCTTCTAGCCCTTTTGAGCCCCAGTTGTCTGTGGTGACTTGTCCACTCCAATTCGGCAGCATGTGGCAGCTGCTGTCAACAGCAGCTCTGCTACTTCTAGGTAAGTCAGCACCACCCAGGAAGACAGACAAGCTCAGGATGCCCTAGATTGAGTCCAGGGGAGTAGAATGTCCTTAATTCCTAGACCAAAACCATCTTGAGGCTAGAGAGGAATGCACAGACTCAGATTTGGGCATAGCCAGGAAGCTAGCAGAGGGTCTATGAGGGTCCGGTACTTCACCCCTGGATATCTGAAAATTGAACAGCATGGACCAGATGGTCCCCAAGATCTGTCTCTTCCATTCTCATATTACAGGGTTTCCCTCTACACTTTTCATTTCTACCCTTTTTCCGGGCTTGAGTTGAGATTGTTTTTGTAGCTTGATTGGGGAAAGTTCAATCTATGCCCTTAAATTGGGAGCTTGAATGGGGACAAGGAAGTAAGGGAACGGTGCTCACAGGAGGGATTAGGGTGGGTGGTAGGGGAGGAGGTAGACATGGGAGGAGCAGGGTAGTCATCCACTCTAAATATCTTTTTTTCCTCCTCTAAATATCTTGATTCCTGGGACCATTGGGCTCCCCTGGGCAGTGGGAGCAAGTGGGTTATACTGCCCACACATGCTAGTAATCTTAATGTCCACTTTTGTTCAATGCTTACTCATTATCTTTTTTTTTTTTTTCAGTTTCAGCTAGCATGCATGCAGGTGAGTTTGCTTTGTGGTCTTAGCTTGATTCAGTGAAGTACTTAAGAAATCTCCAGCCACAGGGTGTTGGGAAACATTTGTGTGCATGGGAAATTGCTGATGTAGGGTTGTAGGACAGTTCCTCTGACACAGTAAAACTGTGGCTCTATGCCTCTCTGGTCAATTTTCCTCATATTAAAGAGCAGGCCAAATATGGGCCAAATGCCTGCAAGATGCTCCAGGACTGAGGCACAGAACAAGGGTAAGTGGCACGTTGTGGATCTTCGATGGGCTCTTACTGGCTTTGAGCCTTGTAGGAATGCTGTTGGAAGACTGCCACCTGCCTGCACTCATCCACATTCTCTTGGTTCCCACAGATCCTCCAAAGGCCATGGTGTTCCTGGACTCTATTTATGACAGGGTGCTGAAGGATGACTGTGTGAATCTGAGGTGCCAGGGGCCTGGCTCCCCTGACAGCAGCCCCACGAAGTGGTTACACAATGGCAGCACCAAGTCCATCACGTCCTCCAACTACTCCTTCACAGTGACTGGTGTTGATGACAGTGGAGAATATAAGTGTCAGAATGGTCTCTTCTCACTCAGCGAACCCATGCGCTTGCAAGTCTATACTGGTAAGTGGTGAAGGAAGAAAAGGACTGCACCAATAAAGGGTGAAACGAGAGGTCCCGCAAGACTTGGGAAAGCCAGTTGATGTTCTTGGGGTTAAAGTGAAGGTAACTTGATCTGTAGTCCTCATGCCACTTCTTGGAGTCAAAGGGTTTGGAGTGCAGGGTGCTTGGGTTCACTCTGGGAAAAGTTTCACCAGAGCTCCCCTTTCAACATGCCGGGGTCTCCATGAGACAGAAACATTGTTTATATTTTAAAAGAACAGATTTATTAGGGAAAGGGACAGAAGAGTAAAGGACACTTGCATAGGAGCAAGTGGGCAGAAAGAGCTACCACAAAAGGGACGAGTTTGCTGACAGAGGTATGGTCACAGGCAGGCGGCCTTGAGAACTGTCTCTGCTGAGGGAGGTCAGTGCGGGGAAACCCCAGCATGGTACAGGTCACGGGAAGGCAGGAAGCTGCTGCTCTGTGGAGGGAAAGAAGTGGTGGAAAGAAGCACCTCAGAAGTCACACAGGTGGGTAGAGGCCTGCTGCCCATGTGTGGAGGAAGCCTTAGGTATTATCATCTTTTGGTAGGGAGGGGCTCATCTTTGTGGGTGGATGATTTCTTCTTTAATCCCCATATCGTCACCTTCAGGTCTGTGTTCCCGACACTCCCTACAGCCCTCTGATAGTCCTTGTGTGAGCCTTGTGATGTCTCCTTTTCAAGATACAAAACCAGGGTTCAGGGGTGGTAAGCTGGGGACCAGGAGAGGAGAGAAGTTTCACCAGAGACAGAGTAGGGAGCAGAACAGGTCTACTGAAATACACTGCTGAGGGGAGCAGCAGGCAGGTCAGGAGAAGTCTGCCACACCATGTGGGTCACCTCTCTGGGCATGGATCGAACTCCTGCTGAAGTGGCTGCAGCTAGCTTTATAGTGTTGCGCTTTAACCTGTTGTACCACCAGGGATGGGTCCTCCAGTTTTTCTATTCTTATCCTCCATCAGTCCCACTGAATTAGAGCAGCACTATAGTCCTAGCCACATGCCAAAAGCCCTGTGTGCTGCTGCTTTATGCATTTCCAGGGCTCACCATTCATGCAGAATGCATATAACACAAGCAATGTCATCGAAGGTCAAGTCATGACACTGATACTTAACAATATTTACTGAATAAATTAATAAATCTGTTTTCAGGACCCCAGCTACTTATTCTCAGGCACATGATGCCCTAACCTACCCCCTAAGGCCCTCCCAATCACCTAGCATCATATCTCTTGCTCCCCATGAAGACCATGCTCAAGCGTATACCTCCGCATTAACTTGGCAACGTGCTCTCTCTCCTAATAGAGGCATATACATATTCAGTCTACAGAGTCATCATGAAATGAAAGTCTCTGTGTACTGTGATCCGAATCCTGGCATCAGATACAGGTAGGAGAAGTATTTTGGAGATAGGGATCTTCCCTGGTGTCCTTGCAGTGCCACCTTGCAAGGTTTACTGCCCCATAGGTACAGTGTATATGGGTGGGCAGAACCCTGGAAAGAAGGAAAACCTCAGACAGATGGATCTTCAACAGTGGTCCCTGGAATTGGGCCTTCAAGCTGATTGCTGTAGCTCCTTTGTCTCTGACTTAGCTGACATGGATGGCCCTTGGCCCTTACTCTACAGAGCCACAACGAGAATGTCTGTTATCTAGGTGGGTGAGAGATGGCCAACTAAGACTAAAGTGGCCACTAGAAGCCAATAATCTGAGTTATTAGTTTTCCTTCAACTTGGCGTTAAGAATTGGCTTTAGAAACCCAGTTCATGAATACTACCGTAAACTGTGACCAACTTCACCAGGCAAAGTCCTGCTCATCATTTAGTATCCATTTTATTTCCCCTCTGAGAAGCCTTCTTTACTTTCTCCAGGCAGAATTCTTTTGTTCCATTATCTTTGACCTACAGTTCTTCATAGAACTCATCACACTGCATTGTAAGGTGTGTGTGTGTGTGTGTGTGCATGTGTGCGTGTTTCTGCCAGAAAACAGATTTTTTGAGGTTAAGATCATGTGTTTTAATCATCTGGACCTCTTCAGTCTGCACTACACATGATACATAGTGAGTATTCAACCAAAGGGTTGAGGTAGGCTCTTTCTAAGCTGTCCAGTGTAGGCTTTTCTAATACATGTTACCTTGGTATATGGAATGAAGGTTAGTCAAGTTTCCATTATATAAATAAGGCAGACTACCTAGATTTAGGGACATCTCCAGAAATAATGAGAGAAATATTTTTAAAGGTTTATTTATTTATTCATACAAGAACTGGGGTCATACAGGCCAGTGGTGTGCAGGGTAAGAGTATTCACCAGAAACAGAACAGGCAGGTTCACAAAATATGCTACTGAGGGGAGCCGTGGTCTGGTCAGGAGAGGTCTGCTGCATCATGAAATATAGAATTTGAACTCTTTCTGCAGTGGCTGCCAATAGCTTTATAGTGCTGCACTTTAACCCTTTGCATCACTAGCGAGTGCCCTGAGAAAACTATTTCTAAGGCAGAGGAAATATCTAGAGGCAAGGGTTTGTCATGTGAGTCCTCATGTCTTCAACATCTCCATCTCATCTTTCTTTAATGCTCCAGGCCCCTATCTCATTCCTTAATTCAGTATATAAAACTCTAGTCTGTACCATTTACTTTAGAATTTACTGCCATATGGGCCCTCCCTAGTGGTGCAACAGGTTAAAGCACAGCACTATGAAGCTGTCCGCAGACACTGCAGCACGAGTTCCATCTCTGGCCAGGGAGGTGACCCACATATCGTGCCAGGTCTCTCCTGACCCACCTGCTGCTCCCCTCAGTGGTGTGTTTCAATCTGCCTGTTCTGCTCCCAATTCAGTGACTCCTCTCACCCCCCCCCACCTCTGGCTTGTCCCCCAATTTCCATATGTATAAGTAAATCTAAAAAAAAAAAAGGAATTTACTGCCATGCAAGTTCTCCATACACATGAAATTAAATTTTGTCATTTCTCCTACAAATCTGCCTGATGTTAAAAGCTTGTTTGTCTTTCAGACTGGTTGGTGCTCCAGTCTCGTAAGTGGACATTCCAGGAGGGGGAGACCATTCAACTAAAATGCCACAGCTGGAGGAACAGGAGCATGACCAAGGTCTCATATTTACAGAATGGCAAAGTCCTTAAATATTCTCATTATAATTCTGACTTGACCATTCCAAATGCAAGAAGAGAACACACGGGATCCTATTACTGCAGAGGGCTTTACAGAAATCAAAGAAACGTGTCTTCAGCATCAGCCAAAATAACTGTTACAGGTGAGAAAGACCCAGAGCCCCCTGTGTGTAGAGTCAGCATTCACACTGGAAGAGGAGTTGAGAGAGGGGCTGATATCCATAGATGTGGGGTTCTGAGAGGTGACTTTCACTTTGCAGTGTGGCAGGAAGAGCAGAAGCTGCAAATCCTCCACCATAAATACCCACTCAGACAGCCAGTGTTGTATGTCTCCACCATATTGTGTATTTCACTGTCCACCTTGCCTCTCTAAAACTCAAACCAGCCCCTTTCAGAAGCCCCCGACTCGCTCACAGAGGGGCCTCTGACCAGGATTCTGACTCTGCTACTAGTTAACCATGTGACTATGGGGAGGCCATTTGGCCTCTCTGAACTGAAATTTCCTCTTCTGTAACAAAGACAAGCTGACATTTATTGGACAACTTTCAGTGTATCAAGCACTATGCTATGCATTCCTTTATCTGGGCCTATTATCTGTCATAGTGGGCCTCTGACATTAAGGGATAGGTCACCCTGAATGTACTTTGCACATGAAGTAACTGAGATGAAGAAAAGGGGTAGGGACAATTAATGTGTCCCTAAGATCACACCAAAGTTTCAAAGCCTGTATAGTCCAACCACTAGATAAAGTGAAAGACTTACACAGTCACTGGTGTCCTGTAATAGAATTGTGAATGATGCCATCAGGTCACCTCGGGAACATCTCCAGTTTCTGTGGTGACTTCCTCCAGCATGCAGCTCCCAGACTCCCTGATTTCACAAACCTTCTTTCAGTACCCGGCTGAGACTTACATTGTAAATAAGTCACATGTAATAAGACAGCAAAATGGAAGCACCCCTTTTGAGATGTTAACAAAGTAATATCCATAACTTGTATTTTTAATTTTTTTAAGATCGATTTATTTGTGCATACAGAACTGGGGTATAGGCCAGAGGAGCAGGGGCGGTGAGAGGATTCACCAGAGACAGAGCCAGAAACAGAACAGGCAGATCGACAAAGTACATTGCTGTGGGGAGCAGCGGGCAGGGCAGGAGAGGTCTGCTGTGCTATGTGGGTCACCTCCAGGAGAGGGGGGGAGGTGGATGTTGTGAGGGGGATCAAATTAGCACTGAAGCGGCTACACAGCTTGCAGTGCTGCATCCTAACCCACTCACTGTGCCACCAGGGGGGCCCAATTTTTTTAATTTTTAACTTTAAGATTTTTTCTTTCCTTTTCTTTTCTCATTCTTTTGAGGTATTTTATCCTTTTTTTCTTATTTTGTTCTTTTTAATTTTTTTAATTAAACAATTATTTCAATTTAAGTTGAATAATACAATCAAATGATTAAGAAAAGAAGCAAATGGGGTAAAAACATAAATTAGTAAATGTAGATAAAGAATACATGCGAGTTATTTATACTATTCTGATAACTTTTCTTTTCACTTCAAAATAAATCAAAATTAAGAGTCAAAAAGTGGGAATTCAAAAATCCACTGTAATGTTACCAGTTTATAGGTAACAGCAAAGAATGACTGTTAAAAAACAATATTGGCCTTCCCTGGTGGCACAGAGGGTTAAAGCACAGCACTAAGAAGCCAAAGCCACTTCAGCATGAGTTTGATCCCTGCCGGGGATCTGACCCACATGGCGCAGCAGACTTCTCCTGACACGCCCGCTGCTCCCCTCAGCAGTGTACTTTGCTGATCTGCCTGTTCTGCTCCTAGCTCTGTCTCTGGTGAATCCTCTCACCACCCCTGCACGTCTGGCCTGTACCCTAGTTCTGTATGCACAAATAAATAAATCTAAAAATTTATATATTAAGGATTATGAGGTTAAGAATAAAATTTTACCACTTTCTCTTCTGGGTTATTTAGTTACTGGGTTTTGATAAAGAGATATTATCAATTTTCTGCTGATAGACAGCAAATGTCAGTGCTTCACTTTTTTAAAATATTTTCCTTAATGGTAATGAATGATGTGGGTGAAAGACAATGAGAATAATCTGAGACACAAGAGAGCATTACTGGGTTAGGAAATAATGTTCACACTAACTTGAACTTTGACAAATACATACTTTCACACAAAACCATGCATGGCCTAAATAAACACTATCTCAGCACCCCGATCCATATATCCTTCATGGAGATACTGGTGCTGAGATGTTGGGTCACTGCCTCTGCTCAGGAAGCATGAAGGTCAGAACTCAGTGGGAGGAATCAAGTCTCTGCCAGACATCCCCCTTCCCACCCATTCCCAAGAATCCATCCCTTGGCAGATGTCAGAATGATTCTCTGCATATAATTGCTGTTCACTCCAATTTGTCACATTAATCTTTCTTATTCTCTTGCTTCCCCTAGTTGCACAGAGCAATTCCTCCGATTCACCTACCATTGTTTCTCCCTCCACCTCACCTACCATTGTTTCTCCCTCCACCTTACCTACCATTGTTTCTCCCTCCACCTCAGCTACCGTTGTTTCTCCCATTCTTTCTTGGCTACAAATCACTTTCTACCTGGTGATGGGACTCCTGTTTGTAGTGGACATGGGACTCTATTTCTTTGCCCGGAGAGACCTTCGCAGCCTAGTGAAGAACAGGAGGAACTTCACCTTCAAATGGACCCACGACTCTTATGATCCCTGATCCATGGGGATAATCAAAACAGCACCTTTCTCTAGAATCACAAGCTTACCATCCCCAACAGTTGTCTCTTGGAACAGCAAGAAAAACTATGCCTCAGAGTCTAAGCTAAGGGGCCATCATCCAACTTTTCTCTTGGCTTCCTATAGAGAGGAGGAAAAGTGTCTATGGACTTCAATGTCATGAGTGAAACCCCATTGAGCCAATAGCTACATTATCAGGATTTGAAGAAATCGTCAAAGATATTTTCTTTGTCTCAATCATTCCCTCACAGCAAAGCAACAGCAAAGCTTCTAGACAGTGGACCCATGATGTATGGACACTGTTCTTAAGAAATGGATGTGGCTGGGCTTCCCTGGTGGTGCAACAGTTTAAACTGCAGCACTGCAAGCTAGCCACAGCTGCTTCACTGCAAGTTCAATCTCTGGCCCCAGAGGTAACCTGCACAGGGCAGCAGACCTCTCCTGACCCCATCCGCTGCTCCCCTCAGCAGTGTACTTCATCGATCTGCCTGTTCTGCTCCCCACTCTGTCTCTGGTGGATCCTCTCACTGACCCTGCACCTGTGGCCTGTGCATAAATGAATAAATCTTTTTTTAAAAAAAGTAAAAAGAAAGAAATGGATGTGTGTGTACATAAGGGAACAAACTACAAACTACAAGCCTGGGTGCCTTCAAGGAGACTGTTGGATTCTAGGAGGGACAGCAGGTTGAAGGGAGTGGGTGAGAAGGAGTAGGAGTCAGGAGCAGCTAGGGGGGGCCCTTCCCTGTACTGTCTTCCTAGAATATGAGACAAAGTGGAGGTAATGAGGAAGAACAGAACTAAGTAGCAAGGTCCAGCTGTAGGGTAGCAGACTAAGGCTGAGTGCTTGAGGGCAAAGGTTGCTAGCCACTCAACTTGCAGGCACAGGCTGGTAAATACAAAAGACATATAGAAGCACCCAGTAGCGTGTAGTGGCTTCATACCTCTGGGTGACAAAATGGGACAATGACACAGAGGGGAGTAGAAGAAAGACACCAGAATGGGGACAGTCTCCATGGGGGGTTATAAAAATAGACCTGCCCCCAGCAGTAACAGGCTCCTCCGTTGGACTCCCTCCTGCTGTCAGGAGTCTCTCTTGCAATAAACCTGAGTTTGCTGATCTTCAGTCCCATGTGTCGGTGACTGTTCCTCAATCCCTTGAACATAAAACCCACCTGATCAACAACAGTAACAGAAACGACAGGGGTAGTAGAACTGTTTTTCAGGAGCATCCCTGTCAGAAGTGGAATAGCCCCTTCCAATTCCATTCCCTTGGAATGGTCAGCAATTATGCCAAGAGTAGAAAATGGTCCTAGGATGGGTGTTGAGAACTGGGGAGATTTAAAGAAAGCACAGAATAAACCCTGTGTGCTTGGGAAGTAAAGCAGCACAGCTCAGTAGACAGATGTGTTGTAGGGTCTAAACAAAGAAGGCATGACTAACCACAATTAGCACAAGAAAATGCTAACCACAGTTGCACAGGAAGAAATAGGCAAGAGAGAGGATGGGGGAGGGGTGTAGGGCAAGGCAGGGGGTAGGGACTATACAACCAGTTTTTCCACTTCATAATCTAATTGCTTCGTTCACCTTACTCATTAAACAACTTTGGAAAACCAACTCTAAGTGTACTAAATTCTATTGAGTTAAATGTTACTTGGAAATCCTCTTCATATCAGTAACAATGGAGTAGAGACGGAGAAGCAAGCACTGCTGTGGAAGACAGCTTTGGCTACCTCTCTGTGTTTTGGATATCTTAAATAGAACATTTATTGACTCCAACAAAAGCATTTTTCAAGATCTTTAGTACTGCTCTCAGATAGGAGATAGAAAAAAACATGGCAATAAGATATAACAGAGAAAATTCTTTTCCCCCCTCCTGTTGTCCAAAACTTATTAGAGATTAGTTTGGGTTAATTTAGAAAATCTTCCCCTCAGCAACCCTCTCCCACAACTCAGGAGTTAGCAGTTTCCAAATTTTGCTAAGAGAGCTGAGCAAAAGGACCCTTTTAGAGGTACTAGGGGAGAGGAGGATTTGGGAATTCGAGGTTTGGGGCAGATGGACAGCACAACCAGAAAAAAGGCAGGAACCTGGCCAGAGAGACAGGGCCAGCCTAATTGGGTCAGTAATGGGTTATATGTCAAGATAGTTCAGATGAATAGGCAAATGAGCATTAGAGGAGATCCAGACCTGAGACAAGGGCTTTTTTTTTAGTACCCACAAAGGGCCAAGCTTGAATTTAGGAGCTGAAAATGCAAACATAAACTATACAGCATTAGTCCCTGGGGAAGTTTCTTTTATAATGAGAAAAGCCCTTAAATAAGGAGAGTGAAGAAAAAGCAACCCAGACAATGTTAAGTTCTTGCTGTGGTGGTGAAGGATGAATAGGAATTTGCCAGGCAGAGAGAACAGCTGAAGACTTTTGACAGAGATTTAATAATCAGGGCACACTCAAGAATGTCTTTTGGTTCTGTTCAAGTCAGTGAGCGAGAATAGAGGAAGAGTTTGAGGACATGAAAGACATTATCTTCCAAGCTAACGAGAGCCGAGCCAACCCTGCAAGTTACTGAGTGGTTTAAGTGGGTTCTAGTTGTATTTTAGAAAGTCTCTTGTGCTACTATTTAGAGTGTGAAAGGGAGAGGAGAGTAGAAAACAGTGAAGATTGCTAGGTAGGTGGTGCAATAATTGAGGGAAAGTCAGGAGGAAGTAACCTGCAGAGGTAGAGAGGGTGGTGTGTCTTTGGAAAACACTCCAAGAATTGTTCACCATAGGGTGTAGCATGACTAAGAGCCCAAGACCAACTTGCCCCTTGCAATGTTCTAGTATCAGTTACAAGATGCAATTGTAGTGGACCCTAAGTCAAACAGTAAATAAGTAAAATAAGCACATTACAAATGTGTGCAACCCACACCTGGTCTGTCAAGTAGACCAGATCACACTTGCTCTTTTAGGTGTCTGCAAAGCACCAAGGTTGGTCCAGGTACACCTGAGCCTGGGCCAAGAGCAGGCCAGCAAGGGAGACCTCTTGAAAGACAAAGGCTTCAAGAGGTGCACGATCCAAGGCTCAAAATGCTGAATACAACCCCGTCCCTGGGTGGGCTCGAACCACCAACCTTTCGGTTAACAGCCGAACGCGCTAACCGATTGCGCCACAGAGACAGGCAAGTGCTTGTTCTTTCGCAAGGTCCCTTCACTGAAGAATGAATCCGGCGCTCTCCCCAAGTCCCCTGAGAAAGTGCGGTCGGGACAGCCTTAGGATGTCTAACCAGACAGTTACCGTTCCGTGCACTGAAGTAGCCTGAGAGAAGCTAATCACCCTTGCAGCACCTGCCTAGACTCGATCGAGAATCAGGTCACCCGGAAAAGCTGCAAGGGCCCTTGGACAAGCGTAAGTGAATGTGCTCAGTGGATGCCCAAACTCCCTTGGCCTTGCTCAAAAACAAACACAAACAAAGAAACAACCACCAAAAATAAAAACGGTTTTTATAGACATTTTTACATTAATCACATTATAAATGATTTAATGCAAATAACTTACATTATTACATACAATAATGTGTTGGTTTATATTACTACAATAAATGCACCCTGACAATGTATGTATTCACGTGTACACGACATTTAACCCGTAACAAGCTTATTACAGTGAAATTTTTAAATGCTGTATCGCTTGTACAATCATGTCGGCAAAAATCTCATGTCTAAGTCCGAGAGTCTCGACAGCAGCCGTTGGGAAGGTTTCTACAAGAGCCTCGGGTGTCGGGACAGAACACTTGGCAAAGGCCTATAACTTAAGGACTTTCACACTGACGCAGCCGGATCTAAATATCTGAGGGCAAATCCCCTAGGGGTGTCTCCTACAAGCTGGACGCTATCAGGTTCTCCTCTTCTGCCAGGCAACGCGCTCCTCTCAGTTCCTGGTCCCTGGGACAGTCGCAGGCCCCTGAAGCTAGCACCTGCTCTAGAGGCACCCAGCTCCTCCACCACGCTGGCGCTCTGCTGCACCTGGCACACAAGAGGCCACTTTCCCTTGTTGCCCAGGATGTGGGCTCCAGAAACCGTCCCCACAACTTCCCTCTTTCTGCACCTCATCCTTCTTTCAATAGGTTTCAGATTGCAGGCAGGTCAAGTTTTCAAAAATGTTCAATGAAATGAGAATGCATACAGATACAGAGAATTACACATGAATTATATCTGCCTGCCTGTGTGTCTTGAGAAGTTTGCAAATGACCTCTAAGCTGACATTGTTTTTATGCTTTAAAATTTTGTTTTACAATGTCTTTAATTGTGGTGAAAATAGTTGTTGTGGTTATGGTTGTTTTATTAACTTGGCAAAATAAAAAGTTGTCAATACTACTGGTCACCAGCATTTTAGGGAAAACTGTATTCATCTGTGAAGCTCAACTTTGGAAGCCACTACTATTTCCATCTTTGCCTTCTTTATTAGATTGACAGCAGAAATTAAAAACATACCAACATACAGTTGTATGTTTCACTTGACATGTACAAATGACAGCTACCCATAAGAAGACAAAAAAGAAAAAGAAAAGCAAAACTGAAACAAAAGAAAGTATAAGTGGAGTGGTGAAATAAATTCAAATATATCAGTGATCATGATAAATACAAATGGAGAAAACTTGCCAGTTAAAGACAAGCTATTTAAAAAATATATTATTCTGTTTTGAAAAATGACATCTAAGCATAAGTAAACAGAAAGACTGAAAATAAACAAATGGAAAAAGACACACTAAGAATATTCTAACACTAAGAAAGCTGACATATAGTTACATGAGACAAAATAAACTTTAAGAAATATGCATTACCATTCGGTAATAAAAGGTTAAACTTATAATGAACATATAATAATTCTAAACACATAGACCTCCTAAGATAGCAGTAAAATATGAAAAACAGAATTATTTGACTTGCAAGGGAAAGTCAGCAAGTCTATCACTCAGTGAGGGAATTCAGACTTGAGGATATTT